GGAGGCCACCTGCTGCGGAACCTCGCCGTGCAGCGGCAGCACATGCTGCTGCTGCTGCTGCTGCTGCTGTTGCTGCTGCTGTTGCTGCTGCTGTTGCTGTTGCTGCTCATAGACAGGTGTGGAAACCGGAAAGGGTTCAAGGGGGGCTTGCTGCTGCTGTTGCGGTTGCTGCTGCTGCTGTGGTTGCTGCTGCTGCTGCGGTTGCTGCTGCTGCTGCTGCTGCTGCTGCTGCGATGGCTCAACAAGAATGCTTCCCTGCGCAGCCTGGAGAGGGGAGCAGTCTCCTTGCTGCTGCAGTTGCTGCGCTTCCTCTTGGTGCTGCAGCACCTGCTGCTGCGGCATTTGCTGCTGTTGTTGCTGCTGCTGCTGCACTTGCTGCTGCTGCTGCTGCTGCTGCTGCTGCTGCTGCCCCTCTACAGGAGCTTGAATAACGGGGAGAGGAGAACAGACGGAAGCAGCAGTGCTGTTTGCTGCAGTACAAGGTGTAGACAGCTCACTGGGTTGCTTCTGCTGCTGCTGCTGCTGTTGCTGCTGTTGCTGCTGCTGCTGCTGCGGCTGCTGCTCGTCTAGCTGCTCATGCTGCTGCTGCTGCTGCTGCTGCTGCTGCTGCAGGGGCTCAGCTCCTGTAGAGTCAAACTCTTCTACATATCCTTGTGTCTGTGCTGCTGCATCATCAGTGTGTTGTGTTGCATCGTTAGCGTTGCTGCTGCAGCTGCTGCAGCTGCTGCTGCTGCTGCTGCTGCTGCTGCTGTTTGTGTGTTTGCTGTTGCTGCTGCTGCTGAAGCTCCAGTGCTGCTGCAGCTCGTCTACTGTACACTCCTCGCTGCTGCGGATGACTGTGCTGCAGCCGCTGCTGCCTGCTTCTGGCTGCGCGGTGATGGTGGTGATGGTGGTGATCTGGGTCGTTCTCCTTTCCAGCAGCACCACCTCTTCTGCTGCTTCAGCTTTACCAGGACTGCTGCTGCTGCTGCTGCTGCTGCTGCTGCTGCTGCTGCTGCTGCTGCTGCTGTTGCCGGCTGCTCCGCTTGATCCGGGGTCCCCACGACAGGAACTGAAATCCTCCGTTCCTGGCCAGCTGTCGTTGCTGCTGCTGCTGCTGCTGCTGCTGCTGTTGCTGCTGCTGTTGTTGTCGCTGCTGCAGTTATCTTCTGCAGCAAATGAAGGATCTTGAGGAGGACAGTAGGAACGCTTCTGGCTGCTGCTGCTGCTGCTTCTGCTGCTGCTGCTGTTGTTGTTGCTGCTGCTGCTTTTTTCTTTGCTGCAGTTGCTGCTCTGCAGCAACGGGGAGTCAGTTCTTTTGCTGCTGCTAATGCCCCGCTTGCGTCCATCCTGTGTTCGTGCTGCAGCTGAAGTTGCAGCAGCAGCAGCTGCTGCTGCTGCAGCCATTGCTGCTGCTGCTGCTGCTGAACCCTCTCCTTCCTTGTAGAAATCCTGTCCGCGGGCTTCACGAGAATTCGCTGCTGCAGCAACTGCTGCTGCTGCTGCTGCTGCTGCTGCTCTTGCTGCTGCTGCTGCTGTTACCGTTGTGCCCGGGGTGCTGCTGCTGCAGCTGCTGCGGTGTGGCGCTCCGCTGGGGCCGCCGCGCTGCTGCGTTCTGCCTCGGACAGTGCTGCCTTGTCGCTGCTGCTGCTGCTGCTGCTGCTGCTGCTGCTGCTGCTGCCGCTCTGGCTGCTGCTGCTGCTGCTGTCGCTGCTCCGTCCCTTCGTCATATTCGTGCTTCTCGCCCCCACCACAATCCACAGAAGCATCCGAAGCAGCTGCTGCAGCAGCAGCTGCAGCTGCTGCAGCTGCTGCAGCAGCAGCACACTGTGTTGTGTCATACCTTCTGGGTTTTGCTGCTGCTGCTGCTGGCAGCAACCGCCTAAAGAACTGCTCAACAGAATGCGAGCGATTCCTTGTGCGTGCTGCTGCTGCTTGCGGAGCAGCCTCAGCCCCCACTTTTGCTGCTGCTGCTGCTGCTGCTGTTGCTGCTGCTGCTGCTGCTGCTGCTTCTCTGTCAGCTTCATAGGGGCCCTCTGCTTCTGTCTTCGGGGGGCCGGTGGAGGGGCTGATGAATTTCCTAAACAACTCACCTACACGGCGCAGGCTGGGGGATCGCCCCCGCGCACCAACACTACTGTCGCGCTGCTGCTGCTTCTGCTGCTGCTGCTGCTGCTGCTGCTGCTGCTGCTGTTTTTGGTGATACGGGTGGGGCCGCTCCTGGGTGAGGGTGGAGTACAGCTTGGTGCCCCAGGGCCTCTTCGTGTTGGCGGGTGTTGAGTCTGACATCGCTGCAGGAAACCTGGGGGTTTAGGGTTTAGGGTTTAGGGTTTAGGGTTTAGAATTGAGGGTTTAGGGTTTATCTGTGCATGCAAAGACGGGCCAGTTAGGCGCTAGGGAGACAAGCCAGGAGCCGCCTGAGGTGTCAGGGTATACTAGAAGGATAAATGCGTCAATCTCAATCTGCTTGTTTTATCTACTGCATTTAAACTTAAACGAAATAAAAGTAGGGGGCAAACCGCGAGGAGGTCCAGTGGTCTATGACGGAAAGATTTCGGCTGTGACCATTGGACCACTAGGAGGAACCAGTGCAGCTTGTGGACGTAAACGAACTTGAAATAAATATAATGAAGAAATAAAAACGCAAAAAATCAAACTTTTTATAAATCTGAAAATAAAACACACGGACAGTTGCAGCCGATGGTTGTTACTGGTGCCGCCAGCTGCTGCATATACGCAGCAACCCCAACCCCCGCCCCCATGGTGTGTAGTATTGCGGCAAACAGAAGCGGTGATCTGCATTTTCCTTTGAATAAATACATTAATTTAATTAAAATAATTCATTTTAAACGTTTTTTTCTCAGCTTTCCTCTTCTCTAGGTGGCGTGATGATCGCCACAGCGAAATACGATCGGGATGGTCTGCCGGCGGTGCACACGAGCTGCTGCGAGCTGCAGCAACAATTAAAATTAAATTTTAAGTTTAAATTTATTTATTATTATTTAAATAATTAAATTTAAATAAATTACATAAAAATATTTGATAGAGTCTGAGCTCAGAGGGGAGCAAGCTGTTCTTGTGCTGCGTTGCAGCAGCGTACAACAAATTCAGATTCCAGTATGCAAATTAAATTTCCCTTTGAGTATCCTTTTCTTTACTTTTATTAATTTAATATTATTTTTTATTGTTTTTTATTAAAAAATAAAGGGGAGACAGGTTTGGTTTTAATTACACTGTAATATATTTCTTATACATAGACCGCCGTTGACTGTCCGGTGGTGCAGGAAACATGAATTCTGAATAAAGAGCAGTATACTCAATCCCCCTCGCATAAAAATATATCAAAATAAAAAGTTATTATAAATTTAAAACATAAAAATAAATTATTTTATGTTTTTTTTTAATAAAATAAATAATATAAAAGAGGTCCTACTGGGATTTGAACCCAGGTCGGCGGATTCAGAGTCCGCAGTGCTAACCACTACACCATAGAA